TAAATAAAATGTTATTTTTTAAGTTTCAACGCACAACGAAACACAGAAAATACTTTCAAGTGGTAAGTGCATACCATATTCACTACATGGATTGCGATTAACACTGCAAACACTATCTTATTTTCATAATCATCATTTATCGATGATCATACATTTATTTTTCATACTTCACAACGGGTGTTATATATTAATATATATAATATATTATATGATAAATTGATAACTACCTAACTAATAGCAAAGTAAAAAATGGATAAAAGTATATAACATTGATCAAAATTATTCAGATTTAAAGAGAAGACTCAGAATCTTAAATACAACGTTGTTGAAGAATAGAAAGTCTGTTTTCTAACTGTGCAAAGGGGAAAAAATGCTCGAGTTCCTAACTGTGAAAACATATTCATAGTTCACTTACTAAAAAATCAAGTGGATTCTTTTAATTTCGTTTTATAGATATAATACGTCTACAAATCCAACAAATAAATTATACAACTTTGCGTATAAATATTATCCTGTATATACGCAGATAATACATAATCTAGGAACATCTTATTTTAGAATAATAATAATATAAATTAATGATAATCATGACATAATGAAGAATATATGTGCAACCCGTGTCACGACTACYACAGCAGAATATACTGTCTTAATAAACCGCATGGGAATAAAATTCCATCCGGTGCGACTTAAAAAATAAAATATATAATCCCTACAGCATATGGAATTACGCGTTTATAGCAGAGTCTAACACGTCATATGCGTTTGATAATATTATAGACACGTGACTATTATATTTCATTTGATATTTCTATACTATTCGCCCTTTGGCCAGTCTTAGATTTAACGGAATACGCCAGTTGTCGCCGTCATTTCTACCACCTGGTGCTAACAAGCCTGTATATTATGTTGAAAAAATAATATTGTGTTGTAGATGGTAGATGATCATCTCATACTGCACGGGCCTGATGAAACGGAACTAACATTCATGTGGGAAAATTTGTTGATGTGGGAGTTTTATATTATCACAACGAAATATTGTAAGTACGTAAATCTATAGAAGACGTTAAAGTCTCTACGAGACTAGATAGGTATAATGCCACAGATTGGAGCTATATAAACTATTTACTTGGCACAGCGTAATCTCTATCTTCATACATACACTCAAAAATATAATATTATTCTATAAGTAGAGTCATTCGCCAAGGTCACTCACACCCATTATTTTTCTTAAATAATAACGTTCTTCAAAATCTATTTTTGGGGATTTTTAAATATACTTAAAGACCATATTTTAAGATTCATAAGATACTTAAGAAGTGTCTTGTATCTGGAGATACAAACTTTCATTCTTCAAATAACAACCCCATTTTTCTGCTGCAAATTAAAAATTTATAATTTTTTCTGAACATTTTTATTTTTATGTATTAAAATAAAAAATAAAATGATCAGTAATTTAATTTTGTGTACCAAGGATAGTATGTCCGCTATAATGGATTATAACACTAAAATCTCTAGAATGAATAATCTAATATCTGAGAAACTACAAACATTCAAATTGAATTCGATACTTAAAYCAAAATTTTCAATAAAAAAAATTATATATCTAAATAATTTACAGCAATAATAGGAGGTTTCTCACTTTAAAAACAGAAGTTTGTATCGCTACATGACAGTATCTTTAAGCAAGTATATGTAGTATAGGTACGAACAATTTCTAGAATTTGAAAATATGGACTCTAAGTATACAAATTCATTATACATTAAATTAACAATTAATGGTCACAAGTATTGGTTAACCACTCTGTTTAAACATAATAATACTAATTGTAGAGAGTTCCCTGCAGTAAATCCAAAACTACMAATCGACACATTGATAGCCGATAAATATATAGGTATATAGGTACATAGATATAGGCAGTTTAATAATAATTATATATAATGCATACTATATTTCATGAATTACTCACTTCGGCTAGCCATAAATATTTCGATGGCGATGTTCTGCAATAAGTACCGGCGYGAGAATATTGCCCTGATTTCCGAAAAGTACCATTTTCCATGTAAATGATCGCAATATTTCAATACCTGTGGAAAAAAAAAKTTAATATTTTATGTTATTGCGTTATTGCTACATTAAACCACGACATGTGATCAAGAAGGTCGAATTATTATTTTTGGRAAGTCTAATATAGGTATAGAAAACTAAAATAGTTTTCAAACCATTTAGGCTATAAAACTGCAGTAAATATATTAGCATAAAAAAATACATCYTTAAAACACGATATTTTATATATTATATGTATCGTCTTATTATTCACGGCAACTCTTTATTAAAATTCACGCAAAACTATATAATATATTGMACTATACGAGTTTACATATTTCTTAATAAGTATAGTACATGTATAAAATGTTATATCATCATAATAATTTARACTCGATGACAGATAAATGTTACCGTGTTTGTCGTTTCTTCTAAGCTTTGCACGCAATCGAATAAATGTCGTGATTAACGCTAATTAACTGTATTATAATCGTTTATAATCAGTTCAACGATCGTTTTTCACAATTGGTTAGTGCATTATATTTCCACGAGATTTTGATCWATAATACTTTATAATATAGTGAGCTACCGTTTAAACTATAAGGAAACCCGCCGACAGGGTAATGCATTTCTATATACGTATTAAATTGCAGTAACATATACGCGATACGCACACATAACTTAATGGATAGGTACTTAATATACATAACTAATACTTTTCGATTGTTATTAATGACCGTATAACTATTTTAGTATAAGTACTAGTGTATAACCACACCGAGCTAATCATTATATGCCTATGACGAAATTATTATGTAAATCATGTTATAAAACAACTGTACAAATATAATATATACATATAAAGACGCCGCCAAAAATATTTAACATTGCATGTTTATGTGTGTTGCAGGTCGAAGGGCATCGTGATGTCACGTAAGCGATAATAATTTTTTAAGGGATGTGGAGAGGGTCTCATATTTTGTATATTTTTGAGGGGCAGGACATGCGCTCGAGGTATATAATAAGTTTTTGCATCGATGGTTTTCGTAAATCGAATAGTATCGTTATATGTATACCATTACAGTTATAGCTTGCACATAGGTAGGTACATTATATACTGTTTTATATAGGTAAAACCRCAACCCCGCGATGGTAAAAAGTGATTTTTCATCTGCAGCAGATATATACCTACCTACCAATTCTCCAAAGTTTTCACGACCGCAATGCTTACTTTTCTAAACGCACTATTATACTATTATTATCATCGCTCACCGGCCACCGTATTATATCATTATCACACGATCATCGGGAAAATCATACGACGAGCAGACGTCCCGCCGGTCTATCATCTCTCTTATATATAGTACCGAATATTATATACGATTATGCGGCATAGCCCCGCTGATAGGGCTCCGGCACGGTTGTGTTTCCGTTTATATTGTTTGTATAGGTATACATAATATATTATAAAATTATATTTTATACAAACACAAACACGCACGCGCGAGTGCTTAATATATATATATACACGAATGTGTCGTACACTATATATTACATAAACGGCCGGTGAATGTTATTAAATTATGTCTCGCACATTAAAATATATACATTGGGGTCGTACCCCTTGCGCGTTTATTTCACTGCAATTTGTCTTCGTCGTCCCTCCTTTTATGCGTATATGCAATATATATACAGTGAATATATATAGTATATTATGTACACACTGCAGGGCGTAATCTGTATCACGGTCCGTCGTTCGTTTTAAATATTTTTGCGTGCGAGGTGACGWGAGATAAGTGACGAGGAGCATGCCGTAGACTACGATGTGAGAATTATAATGTCTGATTAAAATATATACGATAACTGCACACACGCGTAAGCACGGTGGACGCGATATTGGCAAAGTTGAAGAATAGACAATAAGATGGTATGAATATATTTTTACACATATCATAAAAACACAATATCTATWTTATATGAAGTTGGTCAAAGATAAACGTTCGATACACGTCCTTCAGCAGCCTAGTAAAAATATAACATATATAACACACTACTGGACACTCCCTTCCCTCAAGTTTGTATGTCTTGTATAACTATCATCTGCAAATTTACTTATTAAATAAACTTGTGTACAGATTGTGAATTGCTTTTATAATAATTAAAAAAAAAAAAAACACATAACACAATATAAATTTTGTTTACATTTCTCCGCGCATCTTTTTCCTCCCCCTAAATTCCAAGTACTCGGCCCATTCCTTGCAGACGCAGTATAGATATTTTTAGGTCTGGTTTTCTCCAATCCTAYAGCGGCCTCCGTTCGTCGAAGATGTGAGCGTCTAGTGTTTCGTGCTTATTGGTAAAAAAGTTCGTTGGTGCTTTGATTGTTTGATTTTGTTGGCCATCTTTAAATTATATTATTGTGTAGGTAT